AGTTTCTGACTTTTGGAAATAAGAGCCCCGGCTGTAGGTTTTACATATTTATTTGGTAGCAAAGGTTGGGGAAACGCAGCTTGGGAACTAAATTATGTATCAACATCTAATGCTGATTCCTCTTCATAGGCCAAGCTCTCTGTATGAGGAGAGGGCAACACTGAAGGCAGATGTATAGCTCAGCGAGGGCCTATTTATCCTGCTGGAGTACGCTGAGCCAGAATAAATACTTCCTGCTTTACATGTGGATAAGCTGAGTGTTCAGGATTTGATTGAAAGCGCTGCTATCTAAGCTGTGATAAATATTCATCCCGTGGCCTTTTTTATTCAGTTCTTGTGGAGCGAAGAATTAATGGGAGTTTATCTGGTCAGCTTCAAGATGCTCCGTAGATTCATGACATTTGGGATTCCTGGCGTCGAGGCTGTTTTGCAATCAGGAAAGGTTTTGCATCTTATTGTGACCTGTAGAGAGTCGAAAACTAACCAGACGTACTCGGAATAAACTCGTGATAGTTGTGGATAATCTGACAGTCATCCAAACATTGCAAGGATACATTTTGTCTTTCTTTTAAATGCACCCTCCCTCCTCTTCTTCTTTTTTTTTTGCATATTTTCTCAGGTAGGAATTTTCCAGAAGTGTTCCTTCAGGGCTGTGGAATGCAGGCAGGATGGAGCATGTCTCCAGTTCTGGCACTATTCGCAGAATATACACGCAGTATGTCCTCTGTGCAAACTTGCTCAAACATAAAGACACAACTTGGATAAAGTTCACTTTCCACCGAGCGAGAAATCTGTCTCATGGTTGAGGAGGCAAAGCAGACAGATAGTTCTGTATCTGAGTGTAAGTTCAGAAACTTGTTTTGAGGACTCTTGTTGAAGCGCCGACTTTACTCCTTTTGTGTAGTAAAAGTGAGAAAGATCAGGCAGTGATAAGTACTCATAGTATATGTAAAAAGCAGCCACTCCAATGACATTTTTATCAGCCCTCTCTGTGCAAAGCTACTGAAAATCAGCTCATATTTTCAACAAAAATCCACTCAGATATTTCTAAAGAAAAGTCTCATAAACCAAAGGCCTTGAGATTAACTTCTTCCCCTCTCAGTCCCCCACTCTCTCTGCTGTCCCCCGCCCACATGTTCAAAGGAATGTGCACGTATACCAAAGTAAAATCGATGAAAGCAGCAAGCAGGGATGAACTTCACACTTCTTCTGTGTACATTGACGCCTGAATGAGAATTTAGACTTCTTTTAGTAGGTGGAGCTATAACCTTCATAAATGAAACTTTTAAGATTGACACCAAATTTCAGGATTCAGGACCTCTGTGAAATTTGGAGCAGATTGGACATTATACGTAAAAGTTAGTACCATATATTTCCACGGGGTGGCGCTATGTCTATTGTTGAAAAATAAGCATATACTGTATATGTCTTTAGGTGTGAATAAAAAAAAATGTAACGTTGTATGAAGAAACATAGACAACTTCTTGTTTCATTTGGTGGTATCAAAGTTCGACACGTCACCATAGAAACATCCTCAAACAAAGACCGGAAGTCTAATGGTGCGTTCGAGTTTCCTCAAAAGTCAGAAGTCCGAGCTGGGAATGACGTCACACCCGAGTTACCAGCGTTTCAGTTACCAAGTCGGAAGAAATCAAAATTGGAGGCGAAAACAAGATGGCTACATCTGCGAAAGTTATTTTAGCGCTTGTCTTGTCCGAATATAAGCAAGGACAAGAAACGCTAAAATAACTTTCGTAGATGTAGCCATCTTGTTTCCACCTCTGATTTTGCTTTTTTCCAAGTTGGCGCTGGTAACTCAGGTTTGACGTCATTCCCAGCTCAGACATCTAACTTCCGAGGTATCTCGAACACCGCATGAATATGTGGAAGAGAGAAAGAAAACCACATCACAGAGTAAAACGTGATTTCCTGTGAGCAGCAGTAGGTGGTGCTAAAGCTACAGGGTAATATTTACACATTAGCATTAAGGTTTTGAGTTTTTTTGCAACTTGCTAACTCAAAAACTTCCCCTTCCCTGGCCAGACTTTTGGACAAATTATGATTACTTTTAATCTTCAGTGTGTGTGTGTGTGTGTGTGTGTGTGTGTGTGTGTGTGTGTGTGTGTGTGTGTGTGTGTGTGTGAAACACTGTTTGATATGGAGTTGATTGGACCGAACACCCGGGACAGGTTTGGTCAAATATGCCCCCAGCAAATGGCTCAAAAATGAGAATTAGACATTTGTTTAAAAAAGCGTGTTTGTGAATAAATCCTGATTTTTGCCTCAGGTGAAGAAAAACTCTTTTATTCTTTTTCTCATAAAATCATCTGCTTCCTCTCTCTTTTATTCGAAATTTGTTCTTATAGATTTCCAAAAAGTGCTGACGATGCATAATGCTCTCATATGAAAATGAAATTTCCAGTTTTCACCAGAGAACTCAGTGAAAGCCTCAGGCTGACTCATAGATAACTTATTTAGCCTCCACCTCCTCCACGTTCACTCCTCAGCAGCTGAAGTTCCCTACTGAGGTTACTCCAGGAATTCACCAACGCTGGACGATGCCTTTATTTTCTCCTGAAACGATGCTGACACTAGAGCAACCCGAGCCGCAGCTTTGTGCAGCATCTGCTCCTCTCTGATCACTTCTGGTTAAGTCTGTGGACCTCCCCGCCTGTGAAACCTGATCCAGTCCTGAGATTCCCTTTGAAACAGAAAGGTAATACAGTTTACCTGCCTCCAGCGGAGATAACCGTTAGCCGCTCTCTCTATTATGTGGGAGGACAGTCCAAATGCATCAGTGCAGCACATCTCTGTGGAGGTAATGGGATCTGAGACCCCGATAATGGTGGACAGTTTGAGAGCTCATTTTAGCCACGTAGTTAAGCTTTAACACCAGCACTGCCTGACCATTATCAGCCTGAATGCTGATAAGGATTAGCTGAGATTTCTGGATTAGACAAACATAACCACAGTGTCCTTTAATGAGAGAAGTACTCAGTGGAGATTCCACCCGGATTCACCCCATTTACTCTGCTGGAAATGAAACAAAGTGAGTTACAAAAGCACAAAAACAATCTCAGCTGCAGAGCGAACGACGCTCATGACCTGTGAGGAGTTCAGCGGGTTTCCAACTAGAGGACTGAGACACTCTTGTGTGCCATCTACTGAAAGAAAGAGGGAAACGCAAGTTGTGTTTTAGCCAAAGTTAAAGATGGGAAATCTTCTCTATTGGCTCCCAACCTAGAGTGCCACAAAAAGAAATCTGGGAGGGTGTTTTTTATTTTTATTTATTTTTTTAAATTCAAACGAATCTTTAGGACAACAAGGACGACATATTATACACACATGATTGAATTCAAGTAAAATAAACAACAAACAGAAATTTAACCATCCAACTATATTCAACTACTGTTGATCAAACAAGCAGACTTTAAGAAACTTCTAATAATGAAAACTGACAAGATGCCTATTTAACCAAGTTTTTGTAAAGTATTGTAAGACGAATCTGTTAGGATCTGCTGGTTTAATCTGTGATATCGCTCACTGTTTCGAAAGCTTATCATTTACTTTATAATTAAAGCCTAGAGCATGTGTTTAGTAAAGGTGTTGAATAAAGTGTGAGGACCTGGACGTCAGTTTAGAAAGCAGGTAGAAAATGTAAATTTTTAAGTACAAGTATGTGAATAGTACCTAATATTCTTCATTGTGGCTTTCTTTATGTCTTATTTTGGACAGATAATCTCTTGAAGCAAACTTTCTAGTACCTCAACCCCTTAAGAGTTGACATGCTGTCTAAAATATTCATAGATTTGAGGGCTTGTAAATCAGCTAAACTTACAGTAAATTGAAAATAAAGACAAAGACGATATAGTTTAAAAGTGTTGAAACAGAAAAGTTTGATGTTGATGTTTTATGAATAGATTTGCTTATTTTGAATATGATGCTGCTTGGGATGGGAACAACTAAACACTGGATAAGTTTTGTCATCTAATAAGGCTGACAGGTTAGTAACTTTATTGGGTATATAAAAGAAGCTTCATCGATCCCCGAAGGGAATCACAATAAAAATTAAGTAAATAAATAAAAGTAAAAATGAAAAAAGGTATTTCATAGAGGCAGAGTGTTTCAGAAGTTTATAACTCTGAGAGTTTAGGTGAGAAGATAGCTCATGGATTCCAGAAAAATTTTCTTGAGCGTAACATTAGTGAGATGTTAGGACTTCTATTATGTATGATACATAATAACAAATGATACAGAGAAATTGGGGAAATCTCTGTAAACAAAAGGGACAAAATTAATGGACATCTGTGATCTTACAGACCCAAAAACAGGAAACCAAATACAAATATGATCCAGAAATGCCTAAAAAAGTGGAAAACTTCTCTGTGGTTGACAAATTAAAATTCGACATCCTTTTTGGAAATCATGGACGCCACATCCTTCGCTCTAAAGGGACAGCCAAGTTTGATATTAGTGCAGAGCTTAAAAGCCAGCATACATGGTGGATTAGCGATTCATTGCCGCCTATATCATGGGAAGTGCACACATCTGTCAGTGATATGTTGTCTGCACCATTTTCAATCATACATGAAGTTTAAATGACCTGCAGACCATCAAACTCTGTTTTATCTAACCTCCCGTCTCTTATGTAATCGTGGTTGTACTTTCTGAAAGTCATCGACTCTCTCAGACCTTTTCTTACCCTGACTGAGTCTTAAACTTTACAGCCAATAACTTTGAAGAGCACGAGATCTCCTCGTGTTTCTACACCGTGTGCCTGCAGAGCTGTGAAATGAGCAGCCCATCCTGCCCCTTGTTTAATGGGAACCATGTATTTCTTCCATTTTTGACATCTAATTTAATTTTGCTCTTTAAATCTGCCCAATACGCACTCATCATGGAGCGTGTGAGCAGCCCGGTGGTTCACGGCAAACCGAGAGATTTTTCATTATTTCTATCCAGGAGGAGAAAAGAAATCATTTAAAGAGAAACGTCTTGAATAAACAATCTCACATCAGTTTGTCTCTTAAAGCTATACAGAAGGGCCACTGAAGATTTCCTCCACAAAATATGGATGTTTGTGTTTATTATTTAGGGTAAAAGAACTCACTGAACAATATTTCTAAAGCACTGAATCTGACTTTTCCTCTATCTGTCTCCCTCAGAGTGTTTCCTCCTCTCCCTCCTGAAATGTTCCTTCCAGCTTTTGAAAAACTCAGATATGGATTTTTTTCAGCGAGAAGTGCAGAAACTAGATTTTTGTAACTTTTGAAACTTACAAATGGTTTTGTACAATCTTTTTCCCCCTACATACCAGAGTGGGCGAGCCGTGTGGAGGTATTTTCTCCAGCCGAGGGAGCTGCATAAAAAAGAAAAAAAGGAAGAAACGTCTGCGATATTATTTCTTAAAAGCGAGCTGACGTTATTGCAGTTTTATGTGTCATGGGAAATCATTGTGTCCTGGGCTGCAGCAAATGATTATTGAGAGCTAATAGTGTGCAATGTTTAATATAAGGGAAAGAGGAGACAAAATCACTCATAGCACCTTGGGGAATAAATTAGGGCTGAGGGAGAGTGAGGGTGTGAGGTATCTGTGCGCAGAGAGGATCTTTATTACCACCTGCCTGGCTTTGTGTTGTGTCGTTACCGGGGCACAACAAATTTCATACAGTACAGCTGCTTGAGAACTCTATTCCCACTCTCTGCTGTGTTTACTGAAGCCAATACATCCAGCAAATATTGACCTGTGAAATGTAGTGGGATGCCATCGTGCCTGCAAACTCCTGAGGCAATCTGCAGCATTTCTTCGGCCATATGTTTGACTTAACAAGTCCGCACTCCTTTCATTATCCTCCCCGTGTTCTCAAGTGGGAGAAGCCAAACAAAGATGAATTTGCTGTCCTCCGATTGGATCTTACATAATTTACTTCTTTAACTTGTAGGACTCCTGTGCAGCGGTTGAGGATGTCAGGTCGCCTAGTCTCCTCGGTCCCCAGGCAGGCTGTGGCCGGTTCGTCTCTCATTGACCTTCTGCGGGGCGGTGTAGCGCTGGTGTGTTTGCAGCGTGGTCTCAGGAGGCCCGTCTGCGCCTGGGTGTGCTTATCAGGGAGCAGAAGAGAGGAGCTTTTCCTCCCACATCCTTCAGTGAAGGGCACCTGGAGAGGCTGCAGCACAGGTACAACTAACTGTGAAGTACACGTGACTACAAGGCTGCAGAGAACAGGAGCAAATAAGAAAGCAAAATAAAAGCAATTATTTATACATGTATTTAAGTTTTATTGGGGGCATTTTGCACATCATTAGATAGGAAATGTGGTTAGTCGAGTAAAAAGGACAAGCTTAAAAATAGTCATGGCTGCTGCAGCAAGGACCACAGCCTTCACACTAGGGCTGTCACTTTTTACCAGAAATTCAAACCTGCATTTGAACTGTGGGAAAAAGTTCATTTTCAAGCAACCCTTCACAAAGACATACAATTTTGACCTCAGTAGACTGATGTTTTCTACAAAAATGGAGGCCATGGTCAAGCAAAGTGAACAATCGAGACACCAAAATGTCTAACCGGGGAATCCCACCAGATCTGATCCGCCACCGCCATCGGAGGAGAAGCGCTCACGAGATTACCGAAATTTCTGGCCTCTCCGATAATCAAGTTAAGAACAGTTCAATGTCTTGATTATCTTTTATTTTGAAAATTGACCAGATATTTTACTCTGTAACCGCATACAACTTCCGCTGCTGTTCATGCTGCACTGCACTGAATTGATGCGCCGTGATCTGGCGTCCGGCAAAATAGGAGCCCTGCATATCTGACCATCTGGCCATGCCATGGGATTTGCACCAGAGATGGGATTTGCACCATAGATGGACAGAGCAAAACAAGGACAGGGCTGTACGTTGACTTTGTATGTTGACTTTGTATGCAACTTCAAAGTCCTTCATCCAGATAAATTTGAAGGCTCAGTTGAAGGCTTGTCACTTGTGTAGTGGCGGTAGCATAGGAGGAAGCTCCAAAAAAGGCCATCGCTGTGAACTGCAAAATTCAAACCGCGGTGATTGGTAGTTATTTAGTTTTATGATAAATCTGCAGAATAAAAATGACCTGAAAAGCATTGAAAAACTAAACTGGAATCTGTTTTAATATTACAGTTTGGCCTCTTTCACTCCTGTTAACATTATTTAGGCGGGTAACTGCAGCCTGCCAGCAGGGGGAGCTCCGGATCTTTTTGCTTCCAAGTGCATGGATACTTGTGGCCTTAATGGTACTATGGCATGCACCTTTTAGCAGGCTTTACCAATCAATCCCTGTCCCATTATCCCTGCTTATGTCACCAATCAAACTACAGCTGGATGCTCCTGACTTTCAGTGCAAAAGGAACAAAAGGAAATGTTGGTAGATGCTCCAAAACTTCTTAACTTTTAAAGTTTTTTTTAAGTCTAAAAAAAGTTAGTTTGAGTTCTGGTAGAGTTTGTAATTTATATCTTTGCAGAAGTTTCAGGCATTAAAAATTACACAATAAAAATAGTCAATCTTGTCCCTGATGATCTTTTTTTCCTGTTCGAGCTCATTAAGAACCGTTTATATTCATTTCAGTCTGTTTCATAACCAGCTGAAATTTCCCCACAGGAGCTTTAAAGTAGTTTGCCATATGTGGAAACAAAGTGTTTGGTATCAACAAACAGTGTTGAGCTGAAGCCAAGGTTTGTTGGGGATTTAATAATAAGCCAAAAACACCAGTAAGAAAACAGATAAAGTGCCAGCTACTGTTCACACTGGAGGGCTGATGTCCTCTGGAGCTGTTTTGATACTAACAGCTTCTGTGTACCTCAGGAGACGACAGTCACAGTGTCAAACGAGGCCGCCGATCTAATCCCTGAGTTCTCACCTTGCCCTGACCTCTGAGCCTCGTATTACCTCAGCTGACTTCCACCTGATTAAACAGCACAAAGAGCCGAGGCTGTCCGTCTTTTTTACGTCAGTATTAACCTTTACACTCTGTATTATTCGCTCTAAGAACATATTCTGAGTTAAGGTACATTTTCTTTCCTATTCTGTAGATTTTGATACAAAAGCCATAAATTCAGGACTCGCTGTGGAAGGGATTTCACTGCTGAGGAATTAACCACCCACTCTGCTTTTATAATGATCTATAAAACATAATGGTATCATTTAATGTAAAATGAATTACCTTTTAAGTCATTAAACAGTCATGTTTTAAGTCATTCTCATTAAGCTGAATGCCTTAATGTGTTGTTTTCCATTAAAAAACTCTAAATTATGTACAAGTTTTAATATCATAATTCAAGTAATCGCTCCTCTTGTCTTTGGCTCGTATAAATTTACACTAACTACCACTTGATGAGCTTGTTTTATCATTTTGGAGATATTGCCAAGTAACGGAGCAGTTAACCTTTAAGCTGCTGCATTACTCTGTAATAAAAAAATCAGAAACCCAGTGGAAACCATAAACGACTAACACCAAAAACTTGAAGAATCGAGTTTTTTCTGTCCATCTAACTGAATTTGCTCAGCAGTTACTAACTCTGATAATGTTGGTAAAATTGGACCATAATAAAATCACCATAATAAAACTGAACTATATTAGTTCTTCTGTTGTTGGGTCGATATGTTGCTGAGGTTTTCATGGTTGTTTTGGTTTCTTCAGTTGTAGTGATGTGGTTTATATTATTTAGAGTCATTCTGCTTCATTTGGTCCTCTGAGCTCTGAAAGTATGTCAAAGCTCTAAGTTTTTTTTTTAAAGGTGCTAAATTACAACTGGACTGTTAGGGCCACATAAAAAAAAAAAAATTAAGACTTTGTAATTACTTTGAGAATAAAGTCGTAATTACTTGATTTATTATGAGAATGAAGTCGTAATAAAGTAATTATTTGCAAAAATAAAGTTGTAATAAAATAATGACTTAAGCGAATAAAGTTGTGATAAACTAATTACTTGCGACAATAAAGCCTTAATAAAGTAATATAAGATAAAGTCGTAATAAAATCATTACTTACAAGAATAAAGTCGTAATAAAGTCATTTTTTACAAGTTGGAATAGCTATTAGCTACGCCTTTATTCTCGTAAGTAATGATTTTAATATGACTTTATTTCGTATGTAATGATCTTAATCTCAAAGTCTTCTTTTTTTTTCTTAATGTGGCCCTAATACTCCATCATACTATATAAATAAATCATGATAATAATATTAATTATTAATTAAATTACTATTTTGTATTCATCTAAGTGTTCACATTGAAATAGCTTTATCAGTTCAATTCGTTATCACCACAATAAATGCACTTCTTCAAGCTTCTGTGAGGAGCTTTCGGTTCGTTTTGACTTTAGTGCCCCCTGCTGGTGAAGTTGCATTCATCATAGCTTTGTTGATCCTTTTCTTTAAATGCTAAGGTATTATTTTCTGTTAAAAAAAAACAAAAAAACAATCTTACTTTCTTTTACAGCCAAATAAATCGATGGAAATGTAAAGACAGGCTACTTTTTCAGACAATAAAAAACGACCACATCGATCTCATTTCTGACAGTGTTTTTGTGGGTCTAAAAGAGGCGTCAGTGTCTCCTTACAGCAGCTTTAAGTATTCAAATCAATAAGTTCATTATAAAGACAGTAGAGAACTTTTTATGATTATGTCATAAATGCTGACATGACTTTATATTTCTTTGGGGGAGTTACTGACTCGGACGTTGCTCTTTAAGGAATCAAACTTACTGTAGCCGTCTGAGGTGACTCGTGGCCCACCACAGGCCCCGCCCTCTGCTTCCTCTCACAGAGCTGCAGGTCTCCTCAGAGCGGCGGTGGAGCGAGCAGTGATTAAGTTGGAAGGTCAAGTAGAATTGATTCTCTCTCCTCCCCCTGCGGTACATCCTCACAGCACTTAGACCGGAGACGAAGCCAATTTGTTTGGCGAACGTAAGATTATTTTGGAGACATTTCACTCCTCCTTCCTTCCCTTCATATCCCTCCTACTCTCTCCTCCCTGCCGCTCTCCCTGGGTTTATTTCTGTCCGCTCTCCCTGGTCCGCTGATGCTCTTCCCCCCCCTAAAGGATGACTTCAGCTGGAGGTCAGACAGGCGGTGGTCAGAACCAGGCGAGCCCGGCAGAGATTGCCTTAATTGAGCTCAATTACTTCTGGAGATGCATTCTCTAACCCGCAATGATCTCTTCTAATGATTCATTAGTGCATTAATCACCCATTTAGCTAATGGGAATTGCCCTCTCTGTTTTAATAGCTGCTACAAACAGAAATCATTTGCCTTTGGTGTGTAAGGTTTTTCTAATCTGTGTTCATTATGAGAACACCTCACAACTCTGAAGTGACTGATGAGCCACAGCGTCTTCTCGGCACTGAGCATCATTTGACACAAAAATTGTTTCTTTTATGATGTTTTTTCTACCAAGATGTGTGGCCTGTATTGTGCTTAACGGGGAATGAAAGGCAGGCGTCGTGTATTTCATGTCATGTAGACAATATCCGAGCAGCGGGAGCTTCAATCTGACAACTTGTTCTGTTGTCTTAATGCTTCATCAAACAGTGGCGGCGAGCTGTAATTGAGGGCCGAGCGTCTTGTTTTGATAGCGCTGAGTGACGCAAAGCTGACAGCACACATAAAGCCGCCATCAGTTATGAAGACACTGACATTGTCTTCATGTTTATTTGGATGAGCTGATTCAAAGACACCTGAAGGGTGTTAAACAAAAGCGCAGAAAAACTAGGCGTCTTTAAAAAAGAAAAAAAGGGTGAAAGAAGCAGAAAAACATCGAGCACAAAAAGCAGGGAGTTGATGGTAATTATCTTCGATGAGTAAGCAGACTTGAAAAGTCCACCTTCATGAAAAGACTCCGCGCTGATGTCCTTGAAGAAAAGGTTGATAAGTATTTTATTTTTTACTAATTTTATGACTTAATAGGGATGATGACGCAAATGGTGAGCAAGCTGAAATCTCTTATTAAAGTTGGCTTTGTTCGATGTACTGTATCTCGCACAAGTTCTCACCACCTCCATTCATGTTTCTAACTATCACTGGATAATATTTACCCCGGTGCATGTTAAGAAGAAGTCTGTTTACAGGATGTGGTAGAAAGCCAAAACTAGGCAAAACCTAATCGGGGCTGGCATCACAAAAAATGAGCGCCTTGTGTAAAATCACAGCTTGCATGCTGAGAAAAAAAGGGACAATCTTAGGACACATTTTGTAAGATGAGAGTGAGTCTGTCACCTTCTGTGAGAACAGAGTGCCCTGTGGATGCAAGACGGGAGAGAAACCCAAGAAATTTAAAAGCTAAAAAACGAATCCAGGTAAAAAATAATGATTGGATGTCGAGAGCATGATGACTCTCCAAACTCAATGTTCACAAACCCCAAAGTTTCTTATGGATTCAGGTCTCTTGCTGCGTTCCAGTTACCTCAGAAGTCGGAGCTGGGAATGAAGTTACACCTGAGTTGACGGTGCTCCAGTTAACAAGTCAGAAAACCAAGATGGACGCCTACAGTTTCCCGTTGTTAACTGTTGTTTACAAAAGTCAGCTGTTGTTAGTTGTTGTTAGCAAAACCAGTTGTAAACAACGCATAACACAGTATTTTACTCTTACAAACACCAACTGTGTTCACAATAAGACGTTGGTTGGGCAGTACAACCTAAACCACTTATTTAATTTCACAAAAACAAAACAGAAGTGCTAATAAATAATACATTTTGAGAGCTTTTACTGTTACTCTTCACTGTTGACGCACTGCCATCTTGGATTGTGACATTATTGTCAAGTCAGAGTTGGTGAGGATTGTCCAACTTTCCGAGTTGGAAATCCGACTTCAGGGGTGCGTTCCAGGTGAATTTCTGACTCCGAGCTCGAAAATCCTGACTTCCGAGTACAACTAGAACGCAGCATCAGGTCTCTGTTTAGTTGTGTTATGGTAGAATTCTCTGGCACGGTAGCGAAACTCAACAGAACACCTGTTAGCTATTAGCATGGTTTGCTACATTAATAAACCAATAGTCAGCTTTAAGAGAGCCCAGCTTTCTTACAGTCACATCCTCTTTGCAGCAAGCATTCATGTAGTTTACAGGGGTGTCAATGGGAATTCTGAAAATCCCATTGCGACAGCCTGTGCCGACTCAGCACAATAATTAAGACCACGCCCCCTTTTATACAAACAACCTATTCCCAGTCCCGACAAGCTAAAGTGGTGACTGTGAAAATGCGTGCTCTTATTTTGACAGGTCCTTGCAGAGGATTCTTCAGTGTGTGTCCGCGCATTATTCCCCTCTGCAGCCCCTGAGTGTGTACTGCAGATGTGTTTGTGTAAGAGAGAAAGATGAAGTCCTCTGGGGCTGTAGGTTTTTTCTCTTTTCTCTCAGCCACTCATCTTTCTCCACCTACAGATTGTGTGCTATAGCTGCAAGTCCCCCCCACCCCCCCAGACACCCACTATAGTAGGAGGCACTCTGAATGCAAAGAACAGGTGTGAAATGTGCTGCTGCTAAGGGCCTCTACACACACATCCCAGAGGAAATGAAGACACTGAGCTCCCCCTGAGCAGAGCTTGGTTACATCCGTAAAGTATAGGAGCAGGGGGAGGTGGCGGTTTAGCGTGGCTTGGTTTGTTGGTTGGTCGGGTGGAGGGCTGGCAGAGCAACAAATGCAATCATGATGCAGGTAGCGGCTGCGCTGAATGGTAATGCTATTATAATGATTTTGAGGGAATGTCTTCATAAATGTCTGCTCTCTGGGGAGACAGAGGGGGAGACGCGGGGGCCGTTTTTTTTGCGCAGCCGGGTACCATGAATAAATTCATGTCCACTCCCGTGTGCCGCTGCAGCCTCTGTTTGCTCATCTCGTATGCAGCCGCTTCTGCGTCCCGTCCCAAGAGAGCAAAGTTTGTAAACATGAATAATAATTAGGAACAGGTCGGCGGGCAGGTAATCTGCATGTGGGTTCCAGAGTCGACTGGCCCAGCGTGTGACGTTCAGGTGGCCCTCCATTAGCATTTTGTTTGCGCAGAGATGCAGGTAACGTTTGATCTCTTTTCCAGGCAAACAGAGGAGATGTAATTTTCTAATTGCTTTTAAAGGAGATTAAACTTTTATAGAAAGAGGAGAGTGACTGGCAAATAGATGCTGTGACTTTTAGGCATCCTTGGACTGCAACTCAACTTTGTCCAACATTTACACCTCAGCTGAGTTTGTACAAACAATGACGCAGCATGTAGTAGTGGGAATATTTCGCATGGCTCATTCTGGAACTAAGAGGGGGCCAAACTAAGTCCTCCGTAATAAACGTAATGAACTTTATGATGAATTAAGAGAAAAACAGTGACCAAATAAACAAACCCAACCGAAGAAGTAAAAAAAAAAAATTATGGTCTCAAAGATCAAAAAGAACAAAAAAGTAAAATCACAATGGATAAGTAAGACTTTTGAAGGCTTTAATGAAAATAATTTGAAAATGAAATCATTGTGTAAATGAATCAGAGTCCAAGTGGCGCCATTAGAGGTCACTTAGAGTAGCGTTCGAGACGGTGAAGCATCGACTTTAGGTTTGAACTCTGATTCTCAGAAAAGTGGCAAAAAATTTATATCAGCTGAAAAATAAAGACTTAGAAAAACAAAAGAAACCACAATATGTGGATAACAATAGGGGGGTGGGTCTGAATTTACCTGTTGGGACTTAATCTTATCCTATCTTGATGTTGGTTCTTTGTAAATATAATTTTGTGTAAACTTTGGTGTAAATTGGCGCTGTGTAGATAAAGGTTGATTAGTTAATTGATTAATTGAATGTTGAATCATGACTCAATTATCCTGCTGATATTGTATTGTGATTGAAGTATTATAATAGTGTTATATTTTGACTTGAATATCTTGATGGTATTATAACATGACTTAAATATCCTGATCGAAGTATCCTGATGTATCGTGACTTTAATATCTGTATGGTATTGTGTCCTGATGGAAGTATGATGTTATAGCTCGACTTGAAGTGAAGACTTTTTTATCGTTTTTGACAAAAGTATCGTGATTAGAGTTGCAAAGGGTTGGAAAATTTCAGAAAAATTTCCATAAACTTTCCATGGGAAGATAAGCTGGGGAATATTGGAAATATTCCAAATTGGAAAATTTCCATGGGAATTATGGGAATTTATGAAAATTAACTGAAAATTGGGGGTAATTTAAACAAACTGTATCATATCCAAACACAAATGTAAATATTTTTGTTTGGTCATATGCAGACATCCATGCAAAATAATACAATTAAAAAAACATGAAACACATCAGATGGCAATCAGGTGGCATTTTTATTCTACAGTTTATTTTCCCCAACTATATATAAGTTCCCTGTTGAGAGCAAACCTTCAATTTTGTAAATTTCAGATATAATCCCGTTAATTCCCATGGAAAGTTTCCAACTTTGAAAATTCCCAGAATTCTGCAACCCCAATCGTGATCATCTTGAACTTTTGAAAGCGGAGGATATCTGGTCATTATGGCTTCAGTTACACCCATATGGGACAAACAGTGGGTCTACCTTAACCCTGAGTTGATGTGCACTCTAAGTCTGTTCAGTACCACCCTGTCAATTAAGTTTAAGGGTTTCCAAATCATGAAATGTGCATTACATAAGCACAGACTGGCGCTCAGCCTGGCGAGCATCTGGGGGACGACTAAATGAGAACTCGTGGGTTTTAAAGATTTGATACAAACCCCACTGGTGGCACCAGGTTTCCCGACTTGTTAATAAAATGACAGGATGCTAATGACTAATTAAGAAGCCGATTTTCATTATTACTGTGGCAGGAGGGAGTTTGATCTTGAGGTGACTTTGGAGGAGGAGGAGGAGAAATTGAGGCTTTTTGTTATTCTGAGCCATATACCTTC